GGGAGGGAAGAGAATCTATAAAGTTTCTAATACCCTAGTATGAAGTGGATTGATATATTTTTCCTTTTAGGAGTTTTTACATGCAAAAAAAGGAAAAACTCCCCACCTCCCACCCTTCAAAATTATATATATATATAATATATATATAATATATAATATGTAATATATATTATATATATATATTTTTTGGGCCACATCTGGCAGTACTCAGGAAACCATATGGGGGTGCCAGGGATTGAGCCGGGGTTGGCAGTATTGCAGGGCAAATGCCCTCCCCGCTGTCCAGTTGCTCTAGCCGGGGTTGGCAGTATGTCAGGCAAATGCCCTTCCCACTGTACTCTCACTCTGGCATTGACAGTGGAAGCAGGTTTTGAACCCACCAGTGACTGGCTCTATGTCCAAGTTCTTCCTCTAGGGGTGGTGGTTTTGGTTATGGGGCCACATCTGGTGATACTCGGGAGTTATTCTGTACTCTGTACTCAGGAGTTACTCCTGGCAGTGCTTGGGGGACCATATGTAGTGCAGAACCCTGTTTGGCTGTGTGCAAGGCGAGCACCCGACCCACTGTGTTATTGCTCCAGACCCTATGTCCAAGTTCTCCCAGGTAATATATGTGTGACCCTGGGCACATAACTTCCTCTTCCTGAACTATCAAATAGAGATGTTACTGGTGTTGCACTGGGTGGGAGTGAGGGTGAGAAGGCAGCAGTGCTAGTCCACCAAGCACTGTGCCTGGCAACAGGAAGCACTCAGTGAATGCCAATCACCATCTTATTTTCGGGTTTTGGTTTTTGAGCCACACCTGGAAGTGCTCAGAGGTTTCTCTGCCTGTGCTTGGGGGTTGCTCCTGCTGGTGCTCATGGCACCCTGTGATGCGAGCACAAACCAGCCTCCTACGTGCAAAGCCTGGGCCCAGACCATTAAGTTATCTCTGGTTGATTTAGAAAGCTTCTTCCAGCTCCAAGAATCCTTAACTGTTCTATGAATGTGATACCAATTTCTAGAATAATTTCAGTGAGTGATAAAATCAAATGAGCTTTTCAGATGAAGACTGAATGGCATTATTATAAGATTAAGGGTCTAAGGCTTTGGGACTTTATCTCAAGAAGGTTTGAGGTAATGCTCTAGCACTTATCATTTCTTTATCATAACACTTCCTGTCACCATCTCCCTGTCTGGGATCAGAAGAGGGTGCTCTTAGCAACGTACCAGTTTGTGAATCTAAACCAAACCCATAAATCTGCTCTGGGAATGATGCATGTTTTGGAAAGACTGAACTTCAGCTCCAGGCTATTTCTTTGTCTTGGAATATTTTCCATGAAAGCATTCTGTTGAAAGACAGGATGTTCCAAATCAGTGAATTATTTTATTTATAAAATAGATGGAGTGACACAAGTGGAAATACCAGAAAAAGGATCTCCAAAAATCTTCTCCTCCCCAAAGGCGTGTAAAACAAAGACAAAAATTGTCAGAATGGGCTGCACAGTGCTTGGTTCGGATCTGGTTGCTGATCCTGCAGGAAGCCTCCCCTGAACTACAGAAGAAGTTCCTTCTAAGTCTCTCCTTGCTCCCCTAGTAAACAAATCTCTATGCACTCACTGTCATTTGCAGAAAGTGTGTATTTCAAAGGAAAAATGGAATCAAGCATTGGGCTGGGATGGAGGAAAGGAGGAGCAGGGGTACTGGTGGCTGGACTGCTTGCTTCTCCCTGTCAAAAAATAAGGGCGTAGAGGTCTGACCATCTCTTCTAGATTCATAGAACAAGAGCTCGTTTGACCTTCATGTCTAACAAGAAGAGATACATTGATGTAGCTACAGCTCTATCTCTTGATGTATCTATCTGTATCTATTCATGTATCTACAGCTATAGATATATTTCTATCTCTCTCTCTATTTTTTTTATTTATTTATTTTTGCTTTTTAGGTCACACCTGGCAATGCACAGGGGTTACTCCTAGCTCTGCGCTCAGGAATTACCCCTGGCGGTGCTCAGGGGACCATATGGGATGCTGGGAATCGAACCCGGGTTGGCCGCGTGCAAGGCAAATGCCCTACCCACTGTGCTATTGCTCCAGCCCCCTCTCTCTCTCTTTAAAAAAAAGTTTTGGGGTCACACCTGGCTCAGGGGTTATTCCTGGTTCTGCACTCAGAAATCACTCCTGGCAGTGCTCTCTCTGGCGACCATATGGGATGCCAGGGATCGAACCTGGGTTGGGCAGTTGAGTGCCCACAAAGCAAGTGCCTGCTTACTGTCTGCTTGCTATCTCCCCAGTCCTACGTATCTATATTCATATCTATCTATATCCTCTTATTTTTATACGTATTATATATGGAGAAAGACAGTGAAATTATGTGTGTGTGTGAGAGAGAGAGAGAGAGGGAGGGAGGGAGGGAGAGAGAGAGAGAAAGAAAGAGAGAGAGAGAGAAAGAGACAGAGAGAGAGAGAGAGAGAGAGAGAGAGAGAGAGAGAGAGAGATCACCAAGAGAAGACTTGGGAAAGCTGTAGCATCCTTTGGAGGAATGGTACCTGATGCGTTGGAAAAATAGAACACACGTAAGTGCCTGGAACAGTATCAGTGAGAAGCAGCCTGGTTCGCTTCCCAGAATTATGCGCCCCCCCTTAAAAAAAAAAACTCCAGCTTCCTGGGCAGCGGGCACTGGTAAGTGCAGTGAAGCAGGAGCACGGCGGAGTGACCCCGGCACTGCCTCCTGTCCCCCCCAGAACTGTAGAACTGCCCACCCTGCATCCTGAGGAGACAGAGCTGGGGCTTGTTCCCAGGGACCTGACTCCTGGGGTCTGCACTCAGGAGCCCCAAGAAGTGTGAGGAAGGGCCTGATTAATAGCAGGAATCAAGGAAACCCCCCACACCTCGCTCTTCCCCCACTCAGCCCCCAGAGGCTCCCCTCTAAGCCAGCAGCTGAGGGTCATTCCGGATAAACTGAGGAAAGGCCAAGAGACACCTGCAAAGCCAAGGAAAAACCAGATCCTCAGCACTTCAAAAGGCCCCTGGAGATTATTGCCACCTGCACTAACTTTCTGGGCCACCACCACAAATCAGCATCAGCTTGGTGGCTTAAAAAAGATCATTTCAAAGCAAAACAGAATTCTATTCTCTTTCATTTTTCCAAAGGCTAAAATCCAAGTGTCAGGGAAAGCCCTGCTCCGTCCCCCAGCCCTGGGGCTCCCTCCCCTTCAGGGCTGGGCTCCCAGCCCTTCACTCCGCACTGCTGCCTTCCTTTTTTAAATAGTTTAGGTGAGATGACTTCAGTAGTGTTAAAGTTTATGGTTTTGCTGTACAAAGTTTCTGCATCCACCACTTAAATGCCCAGGACCCTCCACCCCTGTCCCCTTGTCCCCTCAACCTAATCTTTACCACCCTCACAACCCCCACTGCTAATTCATCGGTTTTGCGATCCAGGGCCAAGGGTTTGCCATCCTCCAGTGCCGTCTGTCCCCTTGCTTGGTCTCGCTGTCTGCCACCCATGAGTGACATCGCCTGGTGCCTGCTCATCTCCCTCCGGCTCCGTTGCTGACTGTGGGGCCCTCCAGTTCCATGCACGTTGGCATCAACTGCATGGCTTCACCGTTCTTCTTAGACACTGGGGCTGTTCCCATATCCTGGCCACTGCATTAAGCACTACGGTGACTGTTGGGACAGCGATGCTTCTGGGCCCTAAGTACCTTCTCCTTCTTCATCTCCTTCCTCCCTCTTCAAAGGACATTCAGCATCCAGCAGGTAATCCAGAGTAATTTCCTCTTCTCACATTTAAAGTTGTTCATCTTTAGGGGCCAGAGGCGCTGTGCAGGGGTCAGGATACAGGCTTTGCTTGTGTAGGCACCGGGGCAGCCCCCAGGACCACATCCCTGCCCTGTCCAGCACCCCTGGGTGTGGCCTAGATGGTCCCCTACACCCCAGGGCTTCTGGCAGCATCGCTGACCCATCTTCAGAGTGACCCCCAGGCACCCTGATCATCACTTAGGAGGTGCCCCCATGAATTTTTTAGCACCCTTAGGGGCCTAGAGGATAACTCAGTGACAGAACTCCTGCCTAGCAATCACAAGGCCCCCAGTTTGATCTGTGATGCTGTCCACATGTGCTACGCATGGTGCAGTCAGCTCCATCCGTTGGAACCATGATGCCCCAACAGAGAGGATGTCTGATGTCAGCAGCTGTGCATGGACACAGAGACTAGAGGGTGCAGCCCCCATCAGAGGGGCCCAGCCCTGCTGCTAAGGGAAGCAACCATCCAGGACGGGAAGTGCTCAGGGTCAGTCCCATCCCTGGCATCTTCCCAGGTGCTGGACGCAATCGTGGGGGCAGTGCTGCCGGCAAGCCCAGAGTCACAACAAGAAGCATGCCGTGTCCAGTGCACCACAACCACACACATGCGTGTCTGCCTGCAACTGAGTGTGCGGCAATGTAAGCGACTGAGCAGCGACAGGGCACACGGCTGAAGCATGAGGACCCTGGCAAGGAGGCAGCGAGAGAGAGACAGAGAGACAGAGAGAGAGAGAGAGAGAGAGAGAGCAAACCAGGGTTGACCTTGTGCAAGGCAAATGCCCTATGTGCTGTACTATCGCTTTGGCTCAGAGGTAAAGATTTTTTTTTAAGTAGTCTTTTTTCTTAACCTGCCACACATGGGTTATTAACACTGACATCTCTAGTAACCTTCAGATATAAATATCTCAAATCAATTCCATTCATTATTCATTCATTCACATGAGAGCGATGGTACAGCAGGTAGGCTGCTTAACTAGCATGCGGCCATCCAGGATTCATCGCAGCACCCAAAATGGTTTCCTGAGCCCACCAGTAGTGACACTGAGTGCAGAGCCAGGAGTAAGCCATAAACACTGCTGGTTGTGACCCCAAAACAAAATAAACCAAATCAATCATTCATCCTCTATGAGAAGAAAATTCTTAATCTTGATAATATTAGATGTAATCATTGCATACACATCAAATTTGTCATGAGTTAATTGTCCACAGTCTACTTACAGGAATAAAGTAGCCTGTTGGGAATCTTTGAACTGCAGAACGAAACACAAAATCCCTGTATATAAAAAATACAAAGATAGAATTTTCAAATAAATTTGTTAGTTCTCTGCTTTGCAATCTGAGGGCTTTTGTTAAAGTATTCTATATCATTAAGGATTTTATTTCATTTTATTTTATTTTCCCCTTACACCTTATATAAACACTGTGGTTTACAAAGTTGTTCACGACAACTTGTTACAGACGTTCAATATACCAACACCACTTCCACCACCGTTGCACCTTCTCACCACCATTATCTCCAATTTTCCCAATCACTCCTTAAGCCTGCCCCCATAGCAGGCCCTCAGTAATTTATTTTATACTGCTTGCTATAATTTGCTAAAAGATTGATCAAAATAATGTTTCCTTAGAAGAAAGTTAGTGAAAATTGTTTATCTCACCATGGAGCCCTTGTATAAAAGATTACTAAAACGTTGTTACAGATTATGCCTTCTGGGTTAATATTTTGTTAATTGAGATTGGATGCCTTCTACCTTACATCCCAGCCAATCTGGTGTGCTATTTCTGGTTTGTCAGAGTTATAGAGTTTGAAGTGTCACTCCAGGAAGTCCAGAATTTTTAATGGGGTGATACAGCTGGAGTTACATTTTAACTGGGTGGCGTTTGGGGATGTCCGTATGACTGCCATTGCTTCTGGAAGTACCGAGAGGTGGGGAAGGTAGCCCATCCCTGACTCCATGAAAGACTGGAGATTTCAGTCACAAAACCTGCACACCTGAGGCTTTCAACAGATTAATTTCTGAATGAGGCTCAGCCCGAGCAGTGGGGTCCAACGAGGAGCATGGTGGCAATTGCGGCGGGTGAAGGTTTTCAGCTGCTGGGGCTCAGAGTAGGTGCTGGGCTTACTTGCCCCTCTGGAGTACACAGATGATTAAGCTATGCACGGGGTCCAGATGAATCTACATCTTTTTGATCTCTCTCGAAATTTACTTATGAGTGTCTGGATCATGGTCAGTGAAAGAGCTTACATGGAGCCAAGCTGATGCATGGACATGGCTCTCATTAAGGATTTTAAATGCTAACTTGAATAGTATGGGCATAAATGAGTTGGGTGTTTTGGTTGGGAACTTCTGTGTGTGGGGGCAGGGGCTTAACTAGTGGTGCTCAGGGATCACTTCTTGCTTTGTGTTCAGGGAATCGTACTTTTGACCAGGACAGCTGCATGCAAGGCAGGCCCTTACCCCCTACCCTCTCTGGGCTCCAAAAATGAGTTTTTAAAGCCATTAGTACTGGTTATTAAATTTGAAAACAGAAAAGTATGAGTGAAGGGCTGGAGAGGCCATACAGTGGGTACGAAGCATGCCTTGCACCACACCTGACTGGGGTTCAATCCCTGGCATCCCGTCTCCTGAGCACTTCCAGGAGTAATTCCTGAGCACAGAGTCATAAGTAAGCCCTGAGCACTGACAGGTGTGACCCCCCCATCTCCACAAAACAAAGGAAGAAAAGAAAAGCTTAAGTGAAGTTGACAAGAGCAACTTAAGGCTGTACTTACCTGGAAATGTACTTGGTGGCAGCAACCTTTTGCTCCTGGGCTAGCTACAGGACGGACAAAGAAGGACAAAAGGAACAGTTTCACACGGGTCTTCATTCTCCTTTCCTTCATTAACTGTCATTCATCATATTTTTATGACCATACAACAATGTTTAATACATCTTCTACTTAGTAACAGCGAGACATATTTTCAAAATACAGCTACAAAAAATGTTTCCTTGTCACAGTGAATTTTATGACAGTGTATCCTTGAGAAGATGCGTAGAAACATGCTATGCAACTGACTTATTATATCGATACTCATTTTTGGCTTGGGGCCATACCCAGTAATGCTCAGGGGTTACTCCTGGCTTTGCACTCAGGAATCACTCCTAGAGGTATCTGGGATGCCATATGGGATGCCGGGGATCAAACCTGAGTCAGCCGCAAGCAAGGCACATGCATAACCCACTGTACTATAGCTCTGATTTAGGAGCATATTTTAAAATGTACCGATTCAACAAGTCAATCCAACACTGTTTAGTGGGATTGTGTGATATCTGCTGGGGTGTAACAGATTTGTCCCTCACCAGCAGGAGAGAAAAGGCAAGCCCATAAGCAATTCTAGTCTATAATATTATATTTACAGTTTTCCAGCAGCTTGGCAGTCACACCCACAAACACCCCCCCCCTGCCCCCACAACACCCCCCCCTCCCCGGCGCCATGTAATCTCATCAACAGCCAAGATTCAGAAACTATAAAACAAAGCTCCCGGAAGAAAGCAATGCAGAATCTCCTGCCCCTGCACCAGGCTGTCTTCACAGGGGCCTCCTCAGAGGGGGGCAGGTTGAATTTCCCTCCCCACTCCAAGCAGAGCCCCGGCAGCCGAAAACCTCCAGAACCCAGCCACAGCCATACTCAAGGCCACTTGCCACACCTTGAACGAGCCTCACCCATGAAGGAACTGACAGAGGAACCCAGGTATGAGGAGCCCATGGCTGAGATCTCCAAGCCTGCTCAGATCGAGAGAGGGCCTTCTCCACCCAGATCCTCAGTTTTCCAGTAGCTTGGCAGTCACACCCACAGACTCATCCCAACCATGTAATCTCATCAATGGCCCAAATCCATAGACTATAAAACAAAGCTCCTGGAAGAAAGTGATGCAATTTTTCCCAGGCTGCTCGACCTCTTTATTCTTATTTAATTTATTTTTCTTTTTCTTTTTCCTGCATGGTAGAGCCTGGCAAGCTACCCTTGACGTATTTGACATGCCAAAAACAGTAACAACAATGTGCTCTTCGTGTTCTTGGAGCGAACAGATGCCACTGGACTACACTAGTTTGTGACAGGGACAAAGGAAGACGTTACTGGCTCCTGCTCGAACAAACTGATGAACAATGGGATGACAGTGATACAGTGATACAGTGAATATTATAATTACTGGTAAAAAACTTAAAGATTTGTGGGAGGGTTGGGATCAGAGGAGATAGAGAGGGTTTGAATCCATCCACAGCTAACCTCACATTCAATTCTAAAAACCTCAATGCTTCTCTTTAATACCAGAATGGGGCCAACCATTCACGCTTCATTACTATTCAACATATTCAACAGTAGGGCTGAAAGTCCTATTGAGAATATCAAGTAAGAAAGGAAAGGGGGGGGAAAGGTATTCAAATCAGAAAGGAAGAAGATGATATGATCTTACAGACAAAAAATCCTAAAGACCAGCAGGAACTACTAAAACCAATAAATTTAGTAATACTGCATGACATAAAATCAACATATAAAAATAACTTGGGTTTCACTATATTAACAATAAACAATCTTAAGTAAAAAAAATAGCATTTATGGGACTGGAGCGATAGCACAGCGGGTAGGGCATTTGCCTTGCACACAGCCGACCTAGGTTCGATTCCCAGCATCCCATATGGTCCCCCAAGCACAACTAGGAGTAATTTCTGAGTGCATGAACCAGGAGTAACTCCTGTGCATCACCGCATGTGACCCAAAAAGAAAAAAAAATCTATTTATGATAATATTAAGAACAAAAAGATTCTTAGGAATAAATTTAACTAACAAGGTGAAATGTTGTTGAAAGAAATTGAAGACACATAAATTGAGATATATCCTGTGATGACAATTAAAAGTCATAAGGGGTTGGAAAGATAGTACAGCAGGTAGGATGCTTGCCTTGCATGTGGCCAATCTGTGTTTTGCTTATTCTCTATGGTTCCCTGAGCACTGACAGGAATGATTCCTGAGTGCAGAGTCAGAAGTCATTCCTGAGCACCTCCGGGTGTGGCCCAAAAGCCAAAACCAAAACTAAACAAACAAAAAAACAAACTAGAAAATGTAACATGGCTAAAATATCCACACTACCTAAAGTTTAGATCTATAAATTCAATGTCATCTCTATCAAAATTTCAATAGCAATTTTTTCACAGATACAGATAACACATGAGGTGGAACCTCAAAAAAACCCAAATTGTAGAAGCAATTTTGAGAAAGAGCAATCTAACTAGAGTCATCACACTTCCTAATTTAAATCTATATTACAAAGCCATAATAATTTAAACAGTATGTGGAACAGAATAAAGAATCTAGAAATAAAACCCATGCATATACAGTCAACTAATCATTGACAACAGCACCAAGAATAAATAATGGTAAAATGAAAGATTTTTTTAATAAACAGTATTGGAAAAATAGGTATACTGAGTTCAACTGAGTTAAAAGAGTTAAACTGGACCCCAATATATGCCCTCACATAATGAAATTAATTTTGTGAGGGCATTACAGTTTAGTTTTTAATAAAATTAATAGAAGTTTAATAATAAAATAAAAATAAATAATAAGCACAGCAGTAGGGCATTTGCCTTGCACACAGCCAACATGGCCGACCCGAGTTCGATTCCTCCGCCCCTCTCGGAGAGCCCAGCAAACTACCGAGAGTATCTCGCCCGCACGGCAGAGCCTGGAAAGCTCCCCGTGACGTATTCAATATGCCAGACACAGTAACAACAAAGTCTCCAATGGAGACGTTACTGGGCCCGCTCGAGAAAATCGATGAACAACGGGAGGACAGTGACAATTAATAACATTAAAAGATAAACTGTAGGACCTGAAACTATAAAATTCCTGGGGGAAAACATAAGGAAAAGCCCATTTATTTTGGTTTTTGGCATTTATTTTCAGCATGGGACACCAAAAGCAAAGGCAATAAAGATGAAAAAATAAGCAGATGGGATTAACAACCTATAAAGCTTCTACCCTGTGCAGAAAATAAGAACTGAAAAAACACAAATAGAATGGAAAAAGATATTTGCAAATCATTTTTCTGCTAATAAATTAATAATCACAATTTTTTAAAAAACAAGAAACAGAATAAACAGCAAAAAAAAAGCAAAAAGAATTAGGGGCAAGAGAGATGGTAGAGGAGTTACAATGTTTGCTGCACAGACATGGATTCTGTCCCGAGCACCTCTTATGGCCCCCCTGAGCTCTGTCTGCCAATGAGCAGTTAAGCAGAATAAACCCTGAGCACCATCCAGTGTGGCCAAGACCACCACCCCCTGCAAAAAATAAAATAAAATATTGAACAAAAGATTTGTATTCACAGCTCATCAAAGAAGGTGTACAAACAGCAATGGGTGCCTGAAAAGGGATTAATACATTAATCACAAAAGACATGAAAGTTCAAACTATTGCCTCATACCTATGAGGGAACAAGTAAAGACTAGGATGTGGAGAAGAGAAAACTTAGTGCACTGTTATAAATGTAAAATGGTTTTCCAACCATAAGGAAACACTCAATGGGGGTAGCTCAAAAATTTAAAATAGAGAAGAGTAGACAGAGAGCACAGAAATTAAGGTACTTGTCAGAGGGGAGGGCTCTTTCCTTGCATGTGGCCAACCCTGGTTCAATCCCCGGCATCCCATATAGTCCCCTGAGCACTGCCAGGAGTGATCCTTGAATGCAGAGCCAGGAGTAATTTCTGAGCATTGCCAGGTGTGGCCCCCAAATAAAACAAAACAAACAAACAAACAACATGCCCTTCCCCCCCACACACACACCAAAAAAAAAACAAAAAAAGAAGAAGAAATTAAGGTATTTGCCTTGCATGCGGTGATGTCCTCAACAAAAGTTCAAATTCTGGGTAGGGCATTTGCCTTGCACGTGGCTGACCCAGGTTGGAGTCCCAGCATCCCATATGGTCTCCTGAACAGTGCCAGGAGTAATTCCTGAGTGCAGAGCCAGGAGTAATCCCTGTGCATTGCCGGGTGTGACCCGAAAAGAAAAAAAAAGTTCAAATTCTGGCACCACACATGGTTCCCCACGTACCACTAGCTACGGCCCTTGACCAATAGCAGATTTGCCCCATGCCCCCGCCCCCACCCTGTCCCATACAGAACTGCCATATGAACCAACAATCCTATTCTTATACCTTACTTATATCCTATACTTATATCCTTACTTATACTTATATACTTACTTATATCCTATACCTTACAGGTATATGCCTGTAAGAAACAAAATATTATCTGGAAGAGGTATGCTTACTCTCAAATTCACTGCAGCCTTATTCACAGTATGAGGAAAAATCCAAGCGTTCGTTGACAGAGAAGTGGATAAAGAAAATGTGATCTTGGGCAGGTGTGATAGGACAGCAGGTAGGGCTCTTGCCTTGCACATGACTGATCTGGGTTCAATTCTTGACGCTACATATGGTCCCCCAAACCTCACCAGGACTAATTCACAGTGCAAAGCCAGGAATAACCACTGAAAATCGCCGGGTGTGGCACCAAAACAAAAGAAGGAAATGCGGGGGCACTGGAGTGATAGCACAGCAGGGAGGGCATTTGCCTTGCTTGTGCAGACCCGGATTTGATCCCTGGCATTCCTTATGGTCCTCCGAGCAACACCAGGAGTGATTCCTGAGTGCAGCGCCAGGAGTAACCCCTGAGCATCATTGGGTGTGACCCAAAAAGCCAAAAAAAAAAGGGGGGGTGGGAGGCAGAAGAGGAAGAAGAAAATGTGATACATACAGTCATGCATTGTTTACC